ATTTATTTGCTGGAATATTCAGTAAGGAGATACACTCCGTTGCCGGTGTATGCAGTCCAGTACATGGCCACAAAAAGGGTGCACAGACCTGGTGCTAGTTTTCTGGACAGGGGTGTACATCTCCCTTTATGAATAGTATGAGTACATAATAAGCTAGCATATTTTGTTTTAGTTTAGAGCACCTGGTAGAAAAAAGTCCTGAAAAGGGACAGAGTTTTTAATTTCACCTGCAGTGATTAGTACCGTATTTTTCTTTAGTCAAACAGTAGACCATAATTGAAAAATTGATAGACATTTAAATCTTTTTTAATTACCTCTCTATGCAGCATTGAAAGAATGGGTGGTGAGGAGATGAAGAAATAATCAACCAGTCAAATCACAGAATGCTGGAAAGGTCAGATTCTTACAGCTTAAGCACTGTGATTTACAAGAAATACAAACACATTACAATTCAGAAACTGCTTCTTTTTGACAGAGATTTAATGAGAATGGAGAAGGAGAATGTAATCTGCACTCAAAGCAAACGTAATCTGCACTCTCTCTACAATGAGAATATTCTGGTCCTCTTTAAATGCCCTTCTATGTAGCAAACTGAGCCTCCTAATCTGGACCATGTAGTAATTTAATTGCTGAAGGAATGAAAAATTAGTGATGGTTTCTGTAATGTATGAGCACCTGTACATGAGGAAATGGACAAGACCAATCTTATTTTTATACACCAGACAATTATTAGCTTTCCTACACTACTGATCAATAGTGCACTTATTTGAATTCTTTCACCCTTATTAAGTTTGGGGCTCATCTTTATAGGCTGAAGTGGCCTCACACGGACACCACCACAGCTACTATATCTGGGTATAGCTAAATCACCCCTCTTACCCTTGAAAATGAAGACTATTGTTGGTGTTTCACCTCCGTAACTCCTCTTCTTCTTCCTTTGTTTCTACAGCTGCCCCCATACAGGGAACAGTCCTTTCTATGCAAATACTTTTCAGTAAAAATATAACTTCTCCATAACCGGCTGCTCCCTGGGAAAACCCACGGATTGCTGCCTATGTTTGGCTATGTAGGAGATAGAGTCACTGTAGTTTGGAAGCCAGGCACTGAACGTCCACATTTTATGATATTAGTGGCCTTCTGTATTATTTACATATTCATGCACTGTTTCCTTGTTGTGCACACTTTATTATTTTTGCAGGAGCAATAATAGATTCATTTACACAGGAGCTGGCACAGAGCAGATTGAGGAAAAAAGCCACAAAATTATTAATTAATTTTATGGTAGTGTTATGAGGTAATTGGAACAAAAAATAGATACGTCTATTAGCAGAGCTGTCACCTCCAGTATTACTCGTTGGACTGCTTGCAAAGTTTTAAAAGGAACGGGTGGAGAAGAAGGATTATGCACATTTTTTCACTTGATGGAGTTGCTATGAAGCAGTTTATTGTAAGAATATTGCACGCTCCATTAACTAGCCCCTGCACAGATATGGAATCTCAAGGTGTACTATGCATCTATTATGCTCATTATAGGCTGGAGCAGAAGTCCTTGCACAGCTGCACAGGGCTCTATAAAAAGCTTCACTCTTATGTAGCTTACACAGAGCTTTGTCAAAATAGCAGCATTGCTGGGCTACAGGTGCTGCTAGTTCCCTGGTCTCCAGCAAAGAAAGATATCAAGGAGGATGGATCCGGATGGATCCGGATAGGGAAGGGCCAGAGTTATGGCATTGTCCACCTACAGTACCCTCCTGCAGAGAAAGGCTGGTGCATTCTGTTGGATGAAGCAAGTCACCCACTTCCCATGCACTATGAGTAGCCCTGGAAGAGACTATACTAGCCTAAGGCACTGACTTGCCAGTGCTGTTCCTGGGCTGTGCAATTCCACACTGCCCCTACTCAGGGCTATAACAGAAATGCCAAAATCTCACCCTGTAAGTAAATCCTTTGCAGAAGTCACAGTCTATCAAAAATGTTCCCAATGTTAAATGTACCAGGGTTAAATTCTGCTCTCAATAAGACTGGGGTAACTACTGAAATTAGTATAGATTTTTTTCCCGATTTACACTGATGAAACTGAAAACACAATTTCACCCCAGATCTTTAAAATAAAAAACTGTATTTTTCAAAATTCTCTGCTTTATATTTTGGGTTGATTTGGACTTTGGAGTACAAAGGTAGACTACATGAAAGAATGGAACAGAAAAAAATATAATTAGATTTTAGGTAACCGTGTTGGTACCCCAAAATATTGGTAGTAAAGATACTTCTGTAAGTGAACACAGCAATTGTTATGTTTTCAACCATAGCTTTCACACAGGCTTGAGTATCAGAATCTGTTTTTATTGACAAAGAATGTTAGCCAAGGCATCATTTAAAAGTACAATATGTCACTGCGGTTTAAATGGGCCAAAAATGTAACTATCATTGTAATAGAATTAAACAACTAGATAAAATTTATGAGCATGTGGGAAGTGACAAAAACATTTATTAACGAGACTATTCCTGTGAATGAATTGTATTAGGTCCTCTATCCTAGATTTGGAAGTAAGATTTATAGACGCTCATAGTTAATGAACCACAGACTAAAGAAGCGTTTCTCAGCCTTTTTAGATTGGTGGTCCCTTTTTCTGAAGTTAAAAATTTCCCCAATCCCTTTACATTTTACAAAAGTAACGTAAAAAATGTATCAGTGAGGATGATATGCCTATGTAATTTATTTGTGCATGTGTTTTGAGAGGCTGACAGACAGTACTCAACCATGAATAGTGGGGGTATATGGGGAGTAGGAGAGCAAGTTTTTCTTTGTTTTTAATTGTAACTAAAGTTCAACACTTCATGACTACTCCCTCCCTGCTTCCTCCCACTCCATTGCCTTTAGTGACCTCCCTGGAGGTCACTGATTGAGAAGCAATGAACTAAAGAACTCTACAGTGCAAAAAAAAAAAAAAAAAGGCATTTGTTTTGCATAATACTATAATGTGGACTTTTTGTTTTGTTATAAATTCTGTTTTCTCATAATTTATACCCAAAACAGAGACAAACATATTCACAGGGCAGCACAGCACACAGTTTCGAAGACTGTGGGTCAAATTCAATATTACTGCAAAGAGGAATAATGCCACTGATTTCAATGGAACTGTGACTGCTAATGCCAGGATGAATTTGACCCACAGAATTTATGACCATCATGCCATGATTTCAAACAGTATAAACTAGACAAAAATGAATCATTTAATCTATTCATGCAGTATCCTCAAAAACAAATCTTCACCCAATCTATTAACCATCATCTACTGTCTGATGATTATGTTGGATGTTTATAAATATAAAGGGGCACATTTAGCCTGGAGGAACAGGTGCAGTTCTCAAGGAGGTTTCTGGGACAGGCTGAGTATGTAAATTCAGTCATTTGGTCTACCCCCAACTCCCACATTTATGTAAACTCCACCACCATTTACATTCATTTTGTGACCAGGAGGAATTAATCCCTGCCCTATAGACCCTCTATGACACTTACAAGCAAGTAAAAAAGGCCACAGGAATACCCCCCATTCATGGAAAACCTCAGTGAAGGTGGATTTTTGGAGACAAAGGCTCTGGTCATATCAAGGGCAGGAAGCGGATTCCCCTCTATCCCTGTGCTAGCACATGGATGAACCTGGCCTATGATATCCTAAGTTACACAATTGTTTATGTCACCACTGAATTTGGCAAAGATAAATATGTCGTTTCAGTCACTTTTACATTGGAGGATGATGCCTTTTTCTGGTCAGGATTCCTATGTGCTAAGCTAAGCAGTACTGCTTACACTCTGTGAGTGGAACTAAAGAGTCTGGTTTCATCCTGTGTGAGTAGAGATGTCAAGTGCACACTATACAGACCCAGCCAGGAATATTTGCACTCATGGCTGTAGAAGGCCTTAGGCAAACAAACATGTTTCTTCCCTTAGTTCAAGAGTCAGAAGTTACTTTCCTGAAAACCTAGTTCCTTACCCCCATTGAATCAGCAAATGAGCAACTGAGGCTGCAGTTGAGGAGTAGGTTGATATGGCACAAGACTACGAAGGAACAATGGAACTAGATGTCAGTAGAAAAACTGAGGGAATAATCAAAGCTCAATAAAGAAAGGATGGTCCACTGGTCAGGGTGTTAGGCTTAGACTTAAGGGAACCAGTTTCAACTCCTTGCTCTTCTACAGACTTCTTATATTACCTTAGGCAAGTCACTTTTAGGGCCAGATTTTTAAAAGGTATGTGTACTCCTTTCAGTGCTCCAATACCGAATTGACTTACAAGCCTAAGTCTTACTAACCGTCAGCGAGACTTAGGATCATAAATTAGTTAAGGCTTAGTCTCTTTATGCCTCAGTTGCCTATCTGTAAAATGGGGGTAACAGCATTTCCTACCTCACAGAGACATTGTAAGGAAAAATACATTTAAGATTGTGAGGTAACCAGATGCTCGGGGGGCTAAATAAGATTCTATATATAGATGTGGAACCTAACCCCAGAGAATCAGACACAGGTTGATAGCTAACAAGTTCTCAAATACAATTTAGTTTTCCAAAACTATTTTTATGATCAGAGATAGAACGACTAGGACTGTAGGCTCCTTTTTTTTATTAGTGAACAAATACAATTAAAATTTGAAATATAATTTGAATTCAAATTTAAAATTTGAAATATAATTTTTTAGACAATTAAAGGTCAGCTTGCATCTAAAATCCACATTTTTTGTATTTTCAATGCGAAATATGATGATAGCATAGAAATTTAATGAAAAGCAAAATTTCTGAGTCAAGAAATAGCCCAGAAAGATACTACAAAAATATTGACATTACATTTTACTGAAAACAATTTTTCCTTTTCTCACAGCTTGAGGTCTTATTTTACCTGAACTACTTCACCTCTCTAATCCTATCCTTGGAGATGAAATTGAAGCCATCTACATTAGTTTATTTCTTATGAAACAAAATACTTTCATTTCCATTCATAGTTACCTTTTAACCTTCCTGGATGCACACACATTTTCCCCTGGTTACACTCTCCCATCTCTAAATGAAAACAGAAAATAAAAGGGAAAAAAACAATAGTGCATGGTGAAATTACCTTTATCCTCACATGTGATGTTAAGAGAATACAGGAATAGTCTTTACTACCAGTTGGGTGAAAATGCTAGATTTACCAAAGATGGCTTATGAAAAGCTGTAAATTACTTTCCTTTAGGACAGCTTGGTTTTCTGCACCCCCCGATATTCTCAGCGTTTGTCTCTGCCACACGTTTTAGGGGTTTTCCACCTTTAAGCTATGGCCATGTAGGATTTATGCCAAAAGGTGCTGCTGAATCAGCACAGACCTTTGCTATCCTAAGCATCTCCTTTCCCTGCCAGCACTGTTTTAGGTAATGCTGGCTTATTAAGGGTCCCTTCATCAAGAGAGAATTGTGATGACATTGGCCACTGGGGGTGGTGTGTCTGGATGTATTTTACCATTCACCCTGGGATGAATACAGTCCACTGCCTCACTCTGGGTTTTATGCAGTTATGCTCCAAACAGCTGGAAGTGCATTTAAAAAAAAATCTTCTGAGAATTTAAATACATTAGACTAATTAAAACTGTTGTACTTGTTTTGTGAGGCTCACTCTTATCTACATGATAATGATTTTGGCCTCAGCTGTTTGAGAAGTGTCTGTGGGTGGATACGGAGAGTGATAGATTCATAAAATGCGCCTTAAATGACTACAAAAGGCTTGGCACTGCTTTGAATCATCCATCTACAGTGCCGCATTATTCAGAAAGTAATGCAACCCTGTAAATAATTTAAATGTACTTTTAAAATTTCTGAATGCTCCAGCATCTCCTCCCTCCCCGCCATATACTCAGAAAATTGATTTGACTATGACTAGACCTATGTTCTTAAATCGTGTAATGTTAATGTAGAAAAAGACTTCTGACAACAATGAAACTGGAAGCATTTCCAGCAGACTAGGCTTTGTGGAAATGAGATAGCAGTCTTCAAAGTTCCCAAGCCAAAGAGAGTCAGCTCGACAAGGAAAAAAGTATCAAAACAGGGGCTGAGGGTCCACACATTTTTAAAAAAAAACAGTAGCAAAGTTAGTGAAAATGGTCAAACAGATTAGAATACATTTTTCACTTAAGAAAACATCAAACTGTCGTTTGATAGGAAAGTTGTCCTTTGATAGCAAAGTTAAGCTGAGATCATCATGAACAAACAGATACAAGATATTTTGAACTCCATAACAGTGCTACCGCATCTTAAGAACATGACATCTCTGGCAGTTGCTCTGATTGATGGCTGGTTTTGAGAGGGAATCATGAAGCAGAATGTTGACAGCATCAGATAAAAAGAAAAATCTTGGTTTTGGCTTCCTGACCCAATTTTTCCTTCCTTTTACAATTCTTCACTATATCTGCTTATGACAATATCATGCTCATAAGACTAGCAAACTTGAGGCCACTTGTTGCTTTCTTTAAGGTAGTTTCAGTACTCATACTACGACAATATCAGGTTAGTTCAGTGCTCACACAAATGACACAGCCTTAAGGGACATCCAAGGTTGCACTACAGTAATAATAAACAATAATTCCTAGTTCTTATGCATTGCTGCTTCCTTAGTTTGGCATGGAAAATATGTCTAAGCGCTGGGGTCTGAGAGTCAAACTTGCCTATTTAATGCATTCTCAAGAGCAGTCTGGACTGTTTCTCCACAGGGCAACATGCTTCTGAAAGATGAGCCGGACGATGCTGTCATATATAATGCAACTGAAGAGAATGTAATTACTTAACATTGCTTAAAAGGCTGCACATCAGAAAGCACAGGAAATATATGCAGAATATGAATATGCACAAACTGCATTACGGAGCAATCTAAAAGATATGCTCATGTTACTGGAAAATTTTGTTACAGAGAAAGATGGAAGCTAGCATAATAAAACTAAGACACCCATCCTCAGCAATCATATCCTGACAATTCAGGAACTGGCATTCCTGTTCATCCAGCAAGAACAGATCAAAGGCCTACTCTTCCTCTTGTTGAAACCAATAACAAATAACAAAACTTCCAATGTAGCAGTAGCAGGATTGGGTCACTGATGGAAATAACCATTTTTTATCCAGTCTTATTTATCCCCCTTAGGTCTGTGTTCCAGTGTGATCTCTAAAAGAACATAAGAGCTGCCATACTTGGTCAGAATATCTTGCCCAATATCGTGTCTCCTACAGTGGCCCATACCAGAGCTTCAGGGGTAACATACAGAATAGGGCAATTATGGAGTGATCCACCCCTGACTTCCACTGCTGGCTTCTAGTAGTCAAAGTTTTAGGGTCACCCCAAGCACGGGGTTGCATCTCTGACCATCTTGGATAATAGCCATTGATAGATCTATCCTCCATGAACTTATCCAGTTCTTTTTTGATCCAGATATACTTTGGCCATCACAACATCCCATGGCAATGAGTTCCACAGGTAATTGTGCATTGTGTGAAAAAATACTTCCTCTTGTTGCATATTAGCTTCATGGGATGTCCCCTGAGTTTTGTATTGTATGAAAGAGTAAACAAGATGATTCTTGTTTCCACATCATTCATAATTTTATAGAACTCTATCATATCCCACCTTAGTCATCTCCTTTCTAAGCTAAATAGCCCTAATCTTTTTAGTCTCTCCTCACGTATATCCATATATCCAACTCACAGTTCTACTAGTTTCATATCTTGGATTCTGTATTCGTTGATATATGGTGGTGGGGCACTGAGATTTTCAAACCTTTGCAGAATTAATGGAAGATAGATCCCTAAATCTCCCAGACTGCCTCAACTTTAGGTTTTAGCCAATTATTGACAAACAAAACTCTCTCATTCTGTTGCTATGGAAAGCACTTCAGATAAGGATAAAATTTTTCAGCTCCTATATACTTACACTTGATTTATCAGTCAAACTAAAAAGAGTATGTCAGAATTTGAGTGGTCATAGTATTTCAGTTGGCTCAAACATTAAAAGTTTTGCTTTATGTTCATTATTCTTTTTTCTGCCAAATGCTACTGACTCTATTCCTTATTTATTGCCAGTAGTTTCTGAATTTAGTGACCTCTTGGTCTACCTCATTAATTAGAGAAAAGCAACATTTTGCCATTGTCTAGGAATTGAATTGGAGGGGTCTTTTCCAAAATGAACATTTGAAATGACTCAGTATTTAACAGCAAGGAATACATATAAAAGATCTTCTCAGGCTACTTACATCTCACTATCACACTCAGATACTTCATTTTCAAGTCACCCAAAACAATTATGGAATTCTCTAAACTACCCAAGCATAGTCACATCCTTGCTGATCAAAAAGCAATGCATTCATGTTGCTTGTTTTCAAGAATCTAGTCTCACAGTGCTTGTGATTGTTAGTAGACTAAAATAGGTCGGGGAAGTCATTGCCAGTGCCCTTTCTGGAACTTCTAAGAGCAAAGCAACAATTGCAATGATAATATAGTCATTCTTGTTTAAATTTCTAATCATAGCTGCCCCTTCTGGTCATTATTATATTTTAATTAGAGGGACTATATGGTAAAGAAATATATTTTAATAAATATTTATACTCACAATTCCCTCTCTACGAAACTTATTGTTAAGTTTTAAGTGGGGCTATTCTAGATGTCTGGAGTAAGAAACCACTCAAGATGAATCCAAGTGGCAGAATATGGCCCTTAATATCTAGATGATATGAGTGACTACATCATCACTTGATGATTATCTGTTCTGTTCATTCCCTCTAGGGCACCTGGCATTGGCCACTGTTGGAAGACAGGATACTGGGCTAGATGGACCTTTGGTCTGACCCAGTATGGCCATTCTTATGTTCTTACAATAGCAGGAGATTAAGACATTCTTTCCTCTTCAATTTGAGCAGTCCCTGCCAATCACAAATCAGCAAAAGTTATTTTGTAGATGGCTATCACCACCTCCTGCTGAGGACATTACCTTTTGCACTGGCACAAAGGAAGTATGTTGGGACAAGACTATGGTTCTGTTTCCCTCAGTTCCCCCGCCATCCTCATACTAGTTTATTATAGCTAAGGACACTGAGTTCAATGATCAAAGTGAACCATTCTATACATGTTCTCAAGAGTGACCATCTATTGTGTGTGTGTGTGTGTGTGTGTGGAAGAGGAACAAACTTCCCACCTGTAAATGTAAACAAACTTGTTTGTCTTAGTGAGTGGCTGAACAAGAATTAGGACTGAGTGGACTTGTAGGCTCTAAAGTTGTATATTGTTGTTGTTTTTCTGAGTGCAGTTACATTAAAAAAAAACACCTACATTTGTAAATTACACTTTCAGGATAAAGAGACTGCCCTTGTATAAGATGAATTGAAAAATACTATTTCCTTTATCATTTTTACAGTGCAAATATTTGTAATAAAAATAATAATATAAAGTGACCACTGTACACTTTGTATTCTGTGTTGTAATAGAAACCAATATATTTGAAAACGTAGAAATATTTAATAAATTTCAGTTGATATTCTATTGTTTAACAGTGCAATTAATCACAATTAATTTTTTTGAGTTAATGGCATGAGTTAACTGTGATTAATCGACAGCCCTAGTTGTAATGCGAGTAATGTTCCTTCCATTGCCCCAGGAAGGAGTAAAGGGAAGTAGTAGCAGCACAAGAATGAGTATTCTCTTGTATTCTCTCTCATAGTGGTGATTCTCCTGGGGCAGTCAGTGAATCAAAGAGCATGGATGTGAGGGGAATATGTTGGGGTGGAGATCCCCCCCACCATCACCTGCTGGATAGCAAGTGAGTGAGTAAGGATAGAAAAACTAGAAATTTGAGAAAGGACCTCTTATAGATGACAGATGTTGACAGATCTGAGGAGTAGGTCCTGGTGAGAATACAATAAGGGTATAACTGTGATTTCTAAGAGAAATTTCCATTGAAAACTTTAAACTCTAGTGATGAGTTGATATTTAGGACAAATGGTTCTAGTCCCTCCTCTGGCATTGACTCACCATGTGTCCTTGGGCAAGTCACTTTCCCTCTCAGTGCCTCCTTTTTCCAATGTGTGGTTTGGGGACAATCATGCTTGCTGCCATTGGCCAAACACTTTGAAATCTACAAATGGAAAGCACTGTATTAGTACAAGCCTTTTCAAAAGTATCTTTCATAACAAAAAGGAGGCTATAAACTTTTTTACCACTTTAAAAAAATCAGCACAGACATTTACAGGATTAATCACTGTCATTTTAAAAAGTTTTAAAACTCCATTAGCAGAGTTTATAAGGTTCACATATTGTAGCAAATCTCTCTAAAATGTACCTTTCAACTTTCATAAGTCTTCTCAAAGACAGTATTTCCCATGGAGGTCATCAGAATAACACACATTTTGAATTCTTGACTTAGCTATTTTAGATAGAGATCTAAATAAAAAATTTTAAGAAAGGACTATTCTTAGCGTGAAAGCCTCTCAGTTTTAAACTCGTTTGAATCTCCTTTTTTTCTTAACTTCAAACTTTAAGAAAATGAAATTGTCCCCTGTCTAGAGAGTAATTACAGGTACAAAGCAGTTTTTGTGCACCCCTTGCTCTCCAGGACCTTGAGGTATAAGAGTCACAAACACTTTTGTGTACTAGAAACACAGTTACAGCCTTAACTATGAATCCACTAGCATGGATTTATGATATAGTGGTATGGAAGAAAAACATCAGTTTGATTAAAATTACCCACTTTTATTGAATTCTCTTATAATGAACTTTCTCCAGCAGAACAAAAATCAAATTATGGCAATCTAAACTCTTCCTATAGTGAGGAATCACTAGCAACATAATGGATTAATGTCTTCAAACTTAATGTTCATCATCTGTTCTGCTCTAAGTTATGAATGCAAAAATAACATTCCCCAAATTATACCAGTAAAAGTAGGATGTGAACAGTTTGAATACATGTATTCCTCTTGCTGCAATGCAGCATTGCTGTCCTCATGCTTCACATATAGTAAAATATATAATTCTAATATAATTAATTTTTTTCTTATGGCTTCACTATAAGATTCCCCTTTTCTGTACACAATATAGATAGGATCACAGATTCATAGATGAAAAGGTATCTTAGAAGGCACTACAGAGATACAGTGTTACGTAAATATATTGGCAAAATTTAGAAGCAACTTTTCTAACATGTGGAAAACAGAGATCATTTTTATAAAGGAAAAAAAATATATGCAGAGAAATTCTATTTCTTTTCCTGACTACAAGAAACTGTATAGATCCATTTCAGCCCTTGCTATTTGACTTTTTCCTGACTCTGTTTCTTGACTTTTGTGAATTACAGTACTTTGAGGATTTTAGAAATATAGTAGCTTGAGGTTTCTACAACCTGGTGAGCAATAAGTGACGTGACATTTAAAATATGATTTATTATATTCCTGAATTACACATACATTCATCTTAAAACTGACACAAACCTACAGGTTTTAATAGAATTTGTGTCAGCTGGTATAACAGTTTAGTCAAGAACATTAGTCTATATTCTAATACCTCTGCGTTTTGGTGAATTTCATTTGACACTGTCTAGTACTACAAACTTTGTAGAGGTTTATCTGAATGGGAATATATTTAGTAGCTAGGGCCACAAAAGCAGCCTTCTCTAAAAAATCCTCAGTTGTACAAAGCCCTCTGGTATCTGAAAAAAAGGGGAGTCTACCTTAGGTGAAATAAGAATCCAGATTTTTTTTTTTTAAAAAAAGTAGCAACATGAGGTGTTTAGTCATCAGGGCCACATTTCCCTCCCCCCCACTTCTGATCTTGGATATAAGATTGTGACCCTCACAGAGCACACAATGCTACAGTCATCGGTCACTCCACATATGGATTGGGGTTAGCTGTGCACGTAACTACACCTGAAGACCATTCTCAAATATCAATGAATGTAGAAGGTGGTTGCTCAACTGCATCTCACAGGGATTGTGCTACCACTATGTTCTATGCTGCTTTCCAGTTTGTTTCTTGTTACAATACCAGGTTTGGCTTTCTACAGATCCATTCCTAAGTGATTTTGAATGTAACCCTGTAATGTAACCATGTAATGTGGTGTCAGCAGCAACAACGGCCAGGTTCAGTATCTAGGGGTTCATCCTAATATTACAAAACAGAACTGACTCAAGTCCCCATCCAATAATTTGGAAAACTAAACACCATCCCTGGATGCCTCAACAAGGCAAAACTTCCCCACTCACAAGCAGAGAGTCTGTACATAACAAAATAAATGTTTTAATAAAAGGGAGAGGGAACTCAGCTTTAGTTTGGGAAAAAAAAAACATTGCAACAATGATTCAAAAGCACAAACCATAACGAACCATAACCACAGTATGTTAGGCAGTGGTCTTTGCCTCAGTTTCCCACCTTGTGGTGTGAAAGTCCGACCCACGAATGCCCTTTTAAAAAGGCACTTGCCTCTCCCTCTGCTGTACATTCACAGCTATCAGAGGCTGGCAAAGTCCCAAAATTCAGGAGTGAGTTCATGTGGGTTTGCATCCCAGCCCTTGGTGGGGAAGGGAGGCTGAGCAATTCCTCTGCTGTTGCCACTGCCCACTGTTTCTGCTACTTCTTGCCTCTCACTGTCACCTTTGCAGTGTTCGCGCTAACAATCTATGCTGCCATTTGACTACATCTCTCTGAGTAATACCATGCAAGATGAATTCAGAAGAGACACTCAAGCTAATAGTTCCCAGGTTTAACTAGAAGGAGACTGAGGCAAAGGATTTTCAATGAATGGCCCTTTACTCTGAAAGTCTCTTTCCCAGTTCGTCTGACACAGTTCACTGATCTTCAGGACACACTCTCTCTATATCTTTGAGGAGGAATGGTTTAAAATAGTACAATTGTGCCTAAAATTTTGTGCTCATAAGAGTTACTTGTGGGTGCAAAGCTAAGAATTTGAGCTTTTATTTGTCTTATTTGTGCTCACATTCAGATGCTTAGAGATACAACTGCTCAGATCTATGGCTATAGCTGAATTGTATGTACAATTTATACCAGCAATTCAACTGCAAGTGCAGATTTTGCAGTGCAAGTTGACCCTACAGTGAATGAGGTCTCCGACTGAAGAGTCACCTAGTATGTCATTTTATACTTCCACGTAATTGTGCAACCATCTGCAGTTGAGTCCACACGGAGAGAGAGGGAAAATATGCCTGGAGCTTTATTTTGATTGGAACTTGAATTTTTCCCTCCCAAGAAAATGAATGCATTGGAAAAATCTGAATCGTCAAATGAAACCTTTACATAACAGACGAGGAAAACAGATGCTTCACAGGCAAGAGGTACAAAGATGTCCTCACACACTTTATTTTGAAATGTAAAAGTATGTTAACTACAAAGTTGCATAACCTCCCATTTCTGAACACTATCACTGGGAAATTAAATCTTATTTTAAAATCTGTACTTTCTCTTTCTAATAAATCTCATTTAGTTAAAATTGTGACAGAATTAGAACTCTGTTGCCGAGAGTTAACTTGGGAAGCAAAGGTTATTTGCTGAAGCAGCAAAAAAGTAAACAGAATGTAACAATGCTATGCTGAAGCAGTATATTATATAATCCCATATTGGTATGGTGGGAATAGCTGTGTGCACCCTCTGATTTATGAAGTGCTATATGTAGAAACAATAACGAATAAAACTAAGAATTATTATGAATGATAGTTTCTATTTTATTAGCTTTTCATAATTATAACTTTATTAAATTAATTGGATCCTTGTTGCTTACACTTAAAACAGATCAATATATGTCTAATTTTATAAGTTTTAGTAACTTAAATAAACATTAAAATAGAATGATAAGGACAGAAAAAATAAAAAGCAAGATGTTATAAGATTTCAAACCTTCCTCCTCCCCCAATTTTTGTTTTTAAAATGGAATGATCATATACTATGGTAAAGTTTTATACAATTAGTGAAAATATTTGCTTTAACAATAAAATTTGACTCTTACCTAATCCCATTCTGAAAAGATAACTATGATGTTAATAATTAGGTTCAAATGTCATTGTAGAACTGGATCATATTAGAGTCATTCAAACTTCTGAGACGTCCAATGAAGTGAACTATAAAGTCAACTGCCTACCTAGATAAATATATGTTTAAAATATCAACTGACTCAAAATTTGTCTTTCTAGTAATTTTTTTCAATGGTCAATGTTACATTGATCTATTCAAACACAGGCACATCCAAATACTAATACCAAAGTATCATCCCTAAATTAATTGCATTCACAATCCATTAAAAAAGTTTTAATATTTCTAGTAACAGCTGATAACCACAGGTGTTAAATAACCTTACTTTGTAATTACAACTAACATACTTTGCCTAATCAACTATTTTTCAAGAGTATCATCATTTATCAACCTTAAACTGAGGTTACATTGTGAAAAGTGTGCCTAAAAAATGGCCCCTTCGTGCTCAACAGAACTGTTCCCTTTGTATATTTAGTCATATTTGTAGATTTCAGGAACAAAAATAAGTTTGTTTTTGTTTTAAAACTACCCTTCATTCCTGTCATCTATCAGGGCCAATGCCATTAACAGAATGAGCTGGATTCTGTTCCTTCTCATGCATCGTTAAAACAATTTTAGAGTGAATCAATTATACCTAAGCAACACACTGACGGCTGCAGAAGTGTAAATTAGGGCAGAATTTGGCCTACAGAATCTTTATTAATGATGATTATAATCAGAAGGAAAGAACTCAGCTTGACTTTCTGATCCCAGCTTGAGTTATCAGGGTTGATATTTAGAAAATAGTGTTTAATTCTAAAATGATTTTTATATGCAATTTTGAGAGACTATGAGCATGGAATGGCATGGTGCTTTCTCACAGTGTCACTTTTCAGAGCTCTACTACACTGTTATTTTGATAATCTGATATATGCAATCTGCAAGAAACACAGATTGTGCATCTTTACAAAAATGTGAAGCTTCGCATCTTCACAACTTTTCTTCCATCTTCCTAAATTTGATTGCAATCATGCTCTGACATATGAAAAAAATAATTCAATGGGACTGCCCACATTTGTGAAGTTACTCACGTGTGTGTTTGCAGGATCAGTGCCTTAGAACATT